CGGAACAAAAGCAGTATGTACATACGAAGATTACGATCCCTCTACGACGTCGTTTCACGATCGATTTCCAGTCGATGAAGATTTTCGCGTCGCGGGTTCGAGTTTTTATCACCGCAATTTCAGTCTCCGGCGGCGGCGGAGCCGAGGATGCGGTGAGTGGTTCTCGTGGCCGGACTTAACAAACGGTAAGAAGAGCGTTGTGAAGCTGTGGGATAGTCTAGGGTTAGGGTTTGATTTCGAAGAAGAAGACTCGTCGGAGAGTGTAGTGTCGATTTGGGATCTGAACAGAGATGTAAAAATCAACTCGTTTTCCGGGATGAGATGTCAGATTCCGGCGGTGGCTATGTCTTCTCCGGCGGAGGTGATTTTGTCAGGATCGAATAACGAAGGCAATGTTTTGTTGGGTTTGTATGACACGAGGGTGGTGGGTCAGATTCCGGCTATTTACTCGGAGTGGCGGCCAGGGCGGGGCAGGGTTGTGGGTATCGATTCCGGTGGCGCGGAGAAGGTGTATGTTGTGGATGACGTGTCCAGGAAGTTGACGGTTGGCGATTTGAGGAGAGTCAATACGCCATTGGAGGATCTGACGGAATCTGACGGTGATACCTGGTTTGATGCTGGCGCCGTTATTGTCTCTGACGACGTTGCGCAGTAGTCATCAATATATTGGTTAATTGCACCAAAACTCCCTTAATTGTTAGTAAATATCAAGTTAACTCCTTTATTTATAAACTCGTATAAATAAATCCTTTTTGAAGAAGGTGATATATTTTTATAATTGAAAATGTCAAAATATATCAGTTCATAAATAAGTAGTGTTAAAGTAATATTCCCTAATAGTTAAAAGGAGTTAGTATAATTAATCTTTATTTTTATTTTTATTGTAAAAAGGGCAAAACAGTCCAGAAATAAGTTTTATGTGTCATTAGCGGAGGACACTGTTTGTATTTTGTAAATACTTGTTCAATTCATTGTAATTTATATTTATTAACTCCTAATTCTTTGTATTTTGCTTGACAATTTTTATTTTTTGCTTTTTTGCAAGTTAATTATTAAGCCAAGCAAACAAAATAGATCATGGATATTGCATATACAGCTTAATTTCTTTTGAACGCACATGTACAGCTTAATTGATGCACCTACTTTTTTGTTTTGGCAATTATTGCAAGTTCAACAAAAACCATAGCAAGTGCACTTGCTTTTGTTTTGGCTATTATATGAAAGAGATGGTACAGAACAAAGAAGTTTCCTAAAAAAATAAAAAATAAAAGTTGCAAAAGAAGCATGCAAAGATAATATTAACCTAATTCAAACGGAGTTTGCTAATCACTTTGGATTAAGCTTTCACTAGTTTTCCTTTTTAATTAACATTAACCTAGTTCAAACAGAGCTGGCTAATGACTTTGAATTAAGCTTTTTACTAGTTTTCTCTTTTAATTAATTTTTCTATTCTACTAGTTTTTAGTTTTGTTTTTGGTGTTTCAAAAAAAAAGGAAAAAGAAAGTCAAAACTCACTCTAATACCACCTAAAAAGGGTGTAATAATTCAATACTTATAGGTTAATTTTCACATTGTGCTCTCAATAAAAAATGCTTTTATTCATACCCAAAAAAAAAAAAAAAATTTGTCTCCTTACACCCATCCTTTACTATTTTTTTTTTCCACAATTTTATCTTCACATAAAATTGCAAAAAAAAAATTGCTCGAAGCAAAAATTTGAAAACAATAATTTTTCTACTAATTCATATCCTTCCCACTACCATCTACATCTACATATACTGTGGCTACTTTGCCAACAAAGCCACCACCTCTCGTCTCTAATGCCCCTTCTCTCCACTATTTCTACAATAACATTCTCCACCCTTGCTATTCCCTCTCTAACCTCTACTTGCTCTGTTGAGAACCACCACAACCCTTTTTTTCTTATCTTGAGCACTACGAAAGCCTTGCTCCATCCTTTGTGTCACAACCCAAACCCGCTCCTATGAGTTTAGCACCGTAACCGGCCAGTAATCTGTGATTACCGAAGGTCTGCTTAACAGTAATAACAGTAATACAGAGTACAGGGGCTGGTGGAAGCCAAAACAGTAAATGAAAGATGTCCAATGAGCTGTGACAGTCTGTATGCAAAAAGACTTTTCATAACACATTCATATTCGGAACAAAAGCAGTATGTACATACATCATATACAGGCATTCAGGTTAGGGACCAAATCCCTATCATAACAGTACAGTACAAGTCTATACAGTATTACAAAATAGAGACAGAAGGGTGAACTGAGACACCCCAAATGAGCCTAAGCTTGAACACACTTGGGACCTCACAGTGAGGCACGTTGGTTGGCTTGACAAAAGGGGAGTTTAACCCAACGCTCCTAGCTCCGATCCGGTGCTTGGACACCTACATATATATATAAACAGTGAGCTAAAACCCAGTAAATAACAGTTGTGTAAAGAGGTTAAGAATGAATGTCATTTCAGTCATTAAACAGTCATATCAGTCATTTAGAAACCATAGCAGTTATATGTGGTACATCCAATAGCAAACAGTACAGTAGGTCTTAACAGATCGAACAGTCAGTTGATGACCATCATAACAGTAAACAGTAGTGGTTCCAAACATGGGAACCGACAGAGATCTCTGTGACAGTAGCAGTAACAGTAAATTGCTATTGATGCCACGAATACAGTTCACAAATAGGACAAACATTCATTCAGTAAGAAATATCATTTCAGAAAGCAGTATAGTTGATCATTCAGAAAATATTCATGATTGAACATATATTTACAACATTGTTACTCACAAAGCACTGGGCTAATAACGGCTAGTGAGCGTCCTCGGATGCCAACCCTACACAGTTATAGAATGAACACACACTAAGTTACACACTTGGGAATCAATGACTTAGTCCCTATCTTGACTCGGTGTGGTTCTACATCAATATCCTCATTAAGATGCCTTACACATAGCCTAGGAATGCCTAGGATGGAATGAGGATGCAAAGATGCACTTTAAAACACTTTTCAAAATTTTCAGAAAATAGGGGTCTCGCTCGAGCGTGGCTTTCTACGCTCGAGCGGACATGCAGACAAAGGAGCTCCGCTCGAGCGTGACTTCCTTCGCTCGAGCGGACTGTAAACTCATGAAAAGTGCTGGATGCATGCAATTCATGCTCGATGGGCGCTTGACCTCCGCTCGAGCGTGAGACACAAGTCCTCGCTCGAGCGTGCATTCCCTCGCTCGAGCAGACTGTAAACACATGAAAAGTACTAGATACACGCATTTTATGCTTGAGCGTTACTTTACCCGCTCGAGCGGGACGTATGTACTCAGACTGTACGCTCGAGCGTGAAGTCTTACGCTCGAGCGTGGGTCCAAAATCTGGAATTTCCAGATTGAACCTCCAAGCTCAAATTCAACATTTCAAACATCAAATCCGATCATTTTGGGCTAATTTTTTGGAAAGCACTTTAAAACTCATAATATGACATGTTTCAAAGATCAATTTGCAAAATCAAAGCCCAAAGGTAGTTCAATTAAACATAAATCCAAACAAAACTTCATGAACATAATGTATATGTAACATGTAAGTGTTCAATTGAAATCAAAGCTTCAAATACTTAATCAAATGAGTCAATTCACTAAAAAACATAATGAATTCATGGACCATAGCTAGGATATAGACATGCATGCAAGAATTTCCATGAAAACAACCTCAAAACTCACCAATGTGTACATGCATGCATGATTGAAGCTTCAATTCAACAATTTAAAACCAATTCTAGACTTAGATCACTAATGGCTCATGGGCCATGCAAGATACAACTAGAATTCAAGTTCAAGAAGATGATTTTCCTACCTTAGGTCTTCAATTTCAAGAATGGAAGCTCAATACGTGCAATTATCCTCCAAATCTTCTAATTCTCCAAGTAATTCTCTAGATGAAACAATTCTCTCTTAAGTCTCTCTCTCTCTCTCTCTCTCTCTCTCTCTCTCTCGATTTTGGCCTAGAAAAATGGCTGAGATAGCATATCCAAATTGAAATGAACTAATAGCCTAAAGATGCCCACTCAATGGCAAAAGGGTAATAAACTCATTTTATGTAATTCAACATTATTTAATCCAATTTAATCATACCAAATCAAATTTAAATTAAATCTATCATAAAATCACATAAATTCTAATTAACATAAAACACCAATCAATTACAGATTCAGCCACCGATAAGGCCTTTAATTTGCAGTTCGAATTTAAAAACATGAACAGATCATTCAATGACTAACAGATAGAAATGCATTTAAAATAGTATACTCATGCAATCAGTTTAGGATTTCATCCTAATCAGTTACTTATCATGTGCAGTCACAGTTTAGCAGTAATCAGAGGTGAGGGTTGTCACAGTCTCTCCTCCTTACAAAGAGTTTGGTTCTCCAAACTCGAATTACCTTCATTTATGAAGAATACTGGATCCAGAAGGAACAGTTCAGGATATCGTTTCATCATGTCGTCTTCTCTTTCCCAAGTGGCATACGCGCCACCATGGTTTTGCCAATCAACTTTCACTAGTGGGATCTCTTTGTTCCTCAACTTTTTGATCTGACGGTTTACAATTTGAATAGGCCGCTCTTCATAAGTGTAGTCATCACTTAGCACTACACGGGTAGGCTCAATAATATGAAAGGGATCCCGAAGGTAATCCCTCAACATTGAAATATGGAAGACATTATGCATATGCTCCATTTCAGGAGGAAGCGCTACTTGATACGCCATCGGATTAATCTTTTCAATAATCTCATACAACCCGACATATCTCAGCACTAGCTTACCCTTGACTCAAAAATGAGTCTGGCCTTTCATCGGTGTCACTTTAACAAAAATGTGATCACCTACTTCATATTCTCTGTCTCACCTTCGGACATCCACATAACTTTTCTATCGGTTTTGTGCGATTTTCAGCCTCTATTGAATTAGTTTCACCTTCTCGGTAGTTTTATGTACAATTTCGGGCCCAAGAAAAGGCCCATCTCCAACTTCTGCCCAGCAAATCGGAGATCGACATTTTCTGCCATACAAAGCCTCAAAAGGCGCCATACCAATGCTCGAGTGAAAACTGTTATGGTAGGCCAACTCGGCCAAAGGTAAATGACTTTCCCAATTTCCTTAGAAATCAAGAACACACATCTGTAGTAAATCTTCCAAAGTCTGGATGGTTCTTTCTAACTGGCCATCTGTCTGAGCATGGTAGGCACTACTCAGTCTCAGTTCAGTACCCAATGCTGTTTGCAAACTTTGCCAAAATCTCAACGTAAACTTCGAGTCCTTGTTAGAAACAATAGATACTGGCACTCCATGCAACCTAACAATCTCATCAATATAAATTATAGCCAATTTGTCTGCATTATAGATTGTTTTGATGGGTAAGAAGTGAGCAGATTTAGTCAATCTATCAACAATAACCCAAATTGAGTCCATACCTTTACTGGAGAGAGATAAACCAACAATGAAATCCATAGTGATATGTTCTCATTTCTACTCCGGTATTGGTAAGGGCTGCAGTAAACCTGCGGGTCGTTGATGTTCAGCTTTAACTTGTTGGCAATAAAGACATTTCGATACAAAGTCAGCAATCTCTTTCTTCATTCCCGGCCACCAGAAATTCAGTTTCAAGTCTTGTACATTTTCGTATTTCCTGGATGGATAGACAGTTTTGAATTGTGGCCCTCTTGCAGAATTCGTCTTTTCAGTTCAGAATCATTCGGTACACACAATCTTCCCTGAAATTTCAACACATTGTTCTTAAACTTAAAGTCCGGTCTCGGTTTGGACTCCCGTTCATCAATGACCTTTTTCAAAAAGTCATCATGTTACTGTTTCTCTTTAATTTATTCAATCAGTGCCGGTTTAGCAGAAATAGCGGCTAAGGTTCCACCTTGTTCATGCAAAACAATCTCAATTTCAAAATTTTCAAGGTCATATAGCAATTCTTTCTGCCCGATG